TTGAACCTATGCTTCTTCATTTAAAAAAAAAAAGATGATAAAAGCCACCCTTTATAGTCCTTCTAACTTAAAGATTCTAACAGAGAAAGCCAAAATAATCAATAGGAGAGCAAGATCACATTAAAAGAGTCTGTAAGTCAAATTTCTACTAAGCACATGGTAAGAAATGAGTCTTCTTCAGAATGTGGAGTAACCAACCCTTCAACAGGAATCTGAGACCAAGTTCCCTACTGCTTATGTGATTATAGATGAATCACCTGACCACTCTAAGCCTCAGACAAGAACATCCACCCTGCCTTCCTCACAATTGCTATGATAAACACACATGACAAGTAAACTGTATAAGCATTCCTATTACTAAAGTAAGACCTAAGACAATCTCCTATGGCCTATATAAAACAGCTGGCTTACTTTTGTACTTAGCATTTTCTAAGGAAAAAAAAAACTAAGATTAAAAAAGTAATTACTGAAAATATGGCATGTCAATCATTAACAAAAAACTGTTGATAAAACCTTTCCGAGGGGCTGGAGAGATGGCTCAGCAGTTAAGAACACTGGCCGTTCTTGCATAAGACCCCGGTTTGAATCCCAACACCCACACGTCGGCTAACAGCTGTCCGTAACCCCAGTTCTAGGGGATCTGATGTCCTCATCTGTCCTCCACAGGCATTGCGTGACACAGGTGCACTTATATACATGCAGGCAATACACTCATGCACATAAAATAAAAATAAATAATAACCTTTCCAAAATGCTTGATCACAGAATAAGTATTTGACGTTGTCATCATTTAAGAGCATTACTAAATTCCAGATACTGTGCTAAAAGATTTTCTAATTTAATCTTCAAGATAGCTATATAAAATAGCACTGTCATTATTCCCTGTTACATCTCAATTGGGCTAGACAGGTCAGGACAGTGTCCCAAAATCACAAAGTTAATAAACAGAAATACCAAATCTGAGTACCAAGAAGACTGACTCCAAAATCTGAGTCCTTAACTTCAACACTGTATCACCTCCTCTCCCAGTGCGAACATGCCATAACACGGTCATCTCATGCAGGTGCCTAACTGCTTCAGTCCTGCCGTGGTTCAAACAGAAATAATAACACTATCTGCAAGTGCAATAAAACATACAGTTCACTGCATAAACTTAATTTCAGCTTTGGAATCTGAGCCGTCCAAAATCTGAGTCCTTAACTTCAACACTGTACCACCTCCTCTCCCAGTGCGAACACGCCATAACACGGTCATCTCATGCAGGTGCCTAACTGCTTCAGTCCTGCCGTGGTTCAAACAGAAATAATAACACTATCTGCAAGTGCAATAAAACATACAGTTCACTGCATAAACTTAATTTCAGCTTTGGAATCTGAGCCACAAGCAAAAAGAAGGTTTTTGTCATTTTCCTCCAGAGTAAATGTAAATTGGGAAACAGAAGAGATGGCACAGCAGCAAATGGTGGGAGAAAGGCTCTGGGAAGCTCTGCTGACCACTTCCTCCTAGGGCCCGTGAGTCTGCTCCTTCCTCCAGCTAAGACACTAGCCAAGGCCGAACCTCAGGTTTTTCACACTGTGATGTTCACAACCCGCTGACTACAAATATCCAAAGACTGGGTATCAATTCTAGGTTTCCCCAAAGATGAACTTCTTTGGTTGTCTCTGACATCAGGAAAGATAAAAGCACGCATGATAATATCATGCTGGGCTAACTTATTACTTGCCCAACAGCTGCTTTCTAGAAAGCACTATTTCAAAGAGAACTTTGTTATGACTACCAAACTGTTACTTAATCCAGCAGACATTTCTGCCCGTGCTAAAGGTGAAAAAGTATCCTGAGATTACTAATAACTTTAGTAAAACAGCCAAATAAGAATTTCACAGGAACCTATCAGCAGGCTCGAGATGGTTTCACGTTCACATAAAATAACTTTAACATGTAGCCAAAATAAAAATGAATTATACATAAAAATCAAGAAAATATCTTACTGATAAATAACTAAGACAAAAAAGATAACATCATAACTAATATTATTTTATTCTGGGTTAACTGTAATTAAGCTTTTCACTGAGTTGGCAGTGCAACACATAACAAGCACATAAGTACTTTTAATTATAAAGTATGTCTATGTGAATCTAAAATATTTGTCTCCATCTGCTGGAATATAACAGCACTTTCTAAGATCAGTACAAATTTTATTAATGCCAGCAAAGTAGGAAGCTCTAAAGCTATAAAATCATCTTTAATGTTTATACATTATTTTCATGAAATTTCACACTTAGTATGCTTTTATATTTTCCTCTACAATGTAGCAAATCAAATGCTGTATATCTTATATAAGCCCATTTCAAATAGAAACTTGCAAATCACTGTTATCAAGCATAGCAATATGCCTTTAATCACTTTGTTCCCAAATACGTAATTAAAATAAACTTTCGAAGTATTAATGATTTAAATAAGACTTCAAATGATGAAAATATTTTATAAAAACTTTGTTATATGTAACTCAGGTTATTGCCTTAGGAGCACTAAATTACAAGAATATTTTTATTTTTATAAGTGTGTATTAATTATATAAAATGTGTTTCAATATGACATTTTTACACATGTATATAAGGTATTTTAATCATATTTACTTTCCCCCATTACTAGAAACCATGAAATGCCTATGGGTTATAAAAATACAGATACCTTTAGTAACTGCCAACACATGACAGCTTTCTGATGGAAGACCTGTCCCTCCGTCCTTCCAGTATGGATTCAATTCTCTTTCCAGCAGTTTGGACTAGAACAAAACATTTTGAGAGATTAGAGCATAAAAACAAACCCGGCATAAAAATTATTAATCAATGACAAATTTGAGACTGTTAACAGTCACATATTACCCTAGACAAATCATTTACAGATAAGAAGGACATGTTAAGCCACTTGGAGGTTATAATGCATAAATTTATATTCACTCAGTGTTTTTACTGAATACCTACCATGTCTCATAACCTCGTCAAATGCTGAAGATGACAACTGTCAATAATCCCAACTCAGCCCTTGCTAGCGTAGGAACAGTAAGAACAGAGACAATAAATAGCTGATATGTGCTTTGAGAGAAATACTGAATACAAAGCCACACAAAGAGCTCAAACTGCTCCCACGCTGAAGAATCTGCGGTCTCGGGCCTACAGATTATCTTGAATTAAGTTTCTTTGGGGGAATGTGGAGGAAAGAACATAAACATATTCCAAATGTTCAACAAACTTTACAGAAAGGAAAGTGCAGTGTTTTCAGGGAAATCAAGCAGTTTGGACTGAAGAGTTAGAAGCATGACCAAGGGGACGACAGAAGAGGCTGAAGAGAATCATGGCAGCCACAGGGGCCACTCTGGCTGCTGCTGTGGCTCTATGCTTAGGAGGCAAAGGTGAGTCACGAGGAAGATTAGCTTTATATTATGTAGAGCAAACTGGTCTCTGTGTGGAGAAAAGACTAAGGAAGAGCAAAATTAGAGGCACCAATTCATACAGAAGACTGTGGCAAAGCCGGGCATGGGGCTATCATTCAAGCACTCAGGAGGCTGAGGAGAAGTGAGGCCAGTCTGGGCTACAGAGTGAGACTCTGTCTCAAACATCAAAAAATTAAATAAAGCGGCTAGAAAGATGGTTCAGTGGACAAAGTGCTTACTGCACAAGCATGAGGACCTGAGTTCAGATCCATCTCCAGCACCATGTAGCCCACGTAAAGTGCCAAGGAAAAGACAGGCAGATACTTGGAGTTCACTGGCCAACTAGCCTTGCCAAGTCAGTGAACTCTGGGTTCAGTGAGAGGCCCTGTCTCAAAAAAATAAGGTGGAGAGTAACGGAAGAAGATGTTAACTTCTGGCTTCCACACACCTATGTACACACATACACTTGCAAGCACAGGAGTACATGTAAAACACACATCAATACAAACACGTACATCCAACACAAACACATACAATACATACCAGTTCGATAACTGGGGCTACAGGGAGACCCTGTCTCAAAAAGACCAAAAAAAGAAAGAAAAAGGGAAATGTGTCGTTTGACAGTATGCAGAGAACAGCATTCCAAACCCAAATGAACAGGGAAACCTGGCTGATCTCACCCACTAGTCTGCATGACTACATCTGTGAACAGTAATTTAAATCCTTACCTAAGCAAAAAACTCAAATTACTACAGATTATCAAACTTCAGAGCTAAATCCAAGTATTTGCAGAATGAAAACATAAGTGAGAATTCACAGAAGACTAAACCTACCATTCCGTATTTTTAAAAAGTCAAAAAGCACCTCTATATTCAGGGCTCTATATAAAGTACAAAAGATACAACTATAAATAAAACATGGTTTCTCAAAAAGCTTAGAACCTCCTGAGGGAAACTGAGTGAAAACACTAAGTCGTATTACTTTACAGAAACTGCAAACACTATAAAGTAACAGAGCAAATAAAGTGCTGGGCAAACAAGGCAAAGAGAGACTTATTTTAGCCAAAGGAGACAGCAGTCTCATGGAATGTATGAAATGAGCCTTGAAGGATAAGAGGCACACACACACACATACACAGACACACACAGACACACACAGACACACACAGACACACACACACAACACACACACACACACACACACACACACACACACACACAGAGGAAAGAATTCACCAACAGAGAAACACATGGGATTTGCAGAGAAATGTAAGTGAAAGTTATTAAACAAGTTCGGCTAAGGTTCGGAGTCCCTGAGACAAAGAACTTTGTCTTACGTCAATCTAAGGAAGTCAGGCTGCATTTGCAGGCAGCTTTGACGCTCTCTGAAGAACAACTCTAAATATAGACCTTTCTTTTCAATCCAGGCTCTGAACAAGTTGAAAAATCAACCAAAAGCATAAAGCATAAAGTGCAGAATTACCTCTATTAGGCTGAACTGAAAGAAAATCTTTCAGAGAAAGCCAACTGAGCCTACTGACTGAACCTCACACTGAGGAAGACTTTGCCACCACAGAAAGCTTGAGCCAGGCAGAGGCCCCATTCTGCCTATTCCCCACCTGGTCTGGGGGCCGTGTCCTATAGAGTATATGGGAGTCTAGTGTGTTTCCATTTTCTATTTTATCCTCGCCCCCCACAGACATGAGGTAAGCAGCTCAGTCCCACTCCCCATCCTCGACCCTGATGCTGTTCAGCCTCACCTCAGGCCCAAATCTATGGGGCCAACTGAGGACAGGCTGAAACCTCCAGAACACTGAGGGAAAGCCCTCCTCCCCCTGTGCATCTTCGTGTGTTCTGCCACAGCCATCACAAGCAGACCAACATATCTTCCACATGGAAGAAAGACATGATCAAAAGTGTACTCGAAAATGACTATGCTACACCATTGTGGGAGGTAACAGGTAAGTCAACTCCCAGACTTCAGTCAGCCCATTCCCTGCTCCCCTGCCGTCTCCTCCCTTACCGCCAGATGTTCCTTCTTGTCTATTAACAGTGAGCTCCAACCCCTCAGGTCTAATTCAGAAAGTTCTCGTAGAACTTAGTTCAGATATTCCAAAAATCCTGGCCTCTAATGTTCCATACCAACAGCTGACTGATAAAAATCCAACACAATTTACAAGGCCTACATTTTCAGAATTAAAATTAGATTGGGAGGGGAAAAAAAAAGATAGTAACACTGGTCACAGAGCTACCATAAGCTCTTTCTCCTTAGTCCCTCCACGCTACTTTCAAGGTAAATCCCGGTCTTTGAAGGCCCCTCTCCTGCCCCTCGTGCCTCTAGGGGTTCCTGGTCTCACCTCCTTCCCCACCTCTGCCCTCCTTTTTGGCCTCTAAGGATTTCTAGTTGTTTTCTTGTCATCCAAAGTGAAACCAATCAATTAAACCTGCTTACTTTATATTTTATATGGATTTTTAGGTGTCTTGAAATGGGAGCATTTTTATGGCAACTAGTTTAGTGTACACACTGAAAACTACATTGAGAACGTTCAATTTTAATTCAATGACAATCACGTAACACTAATACTTGCTCAACTCTATATACCCTACATTTACAAAGCTAATATACTTTTAAACTAATACCCTGCAGCTACAGGAAATTTATTTTTCAAAACTTACATTGCATTTCTGGAGTTCTCATTAATGTTATCAAACACCACTAAAGATGAAATATTTCACAAATAAATTGCATTTACATAAATGCCTTATCGGTTTATTTAAAACAAACTCAAAATTAAAGCATTTAAAACATTCTCTTACCTGTTCAAGTGCTTGGGTTTTCTCTTGCTCCATTTTCCTTAGAGTTTCCTTTTCAGCTTTGAGTGATGAGGAGGACACAGCTTTAACAGTCATAAAGTTAACAGTCATCCATTCATCCCTCTGTTTAAAAGAAAAGCCACTTCAGTCTGAACTGATCAGAGCCTCTTATCAGCAGGAATTCTGGAGGCACCAACTAGGAGCAAGTACTAATGGCTACAGAGCTTGAAACAGGCCTCGCCTCTCTCTACACCTTGGTCTTTCTCTCATAAACATGGGAGGAAATACCCATCTATCGAGTTTTAAGGAGAAATAAATAACAGGTATAAGGAAACAGCACCAAGCCTGGCGCACACACATCACTTCCTGGTCACCTTTCTTCCTTCACTTGTGGCTGAGTGGGTAAATTATACTCTTTCTTAGGCACATGAGCCAGAACCAAAAATTTATGAACTGTTGAAATTTATTCAACTGTTAAGTACTGCTAAGAAAATGACATACAATGGGGAAACATCTGAACTGAACGCGACACATAGAGAAGGGTCAGACAGTGCTAAGGGCATATGGCAGACCTCACTGAAGAGGAAATGCCAACAACCCACTGCTGGACAAGTGCTGAGGGGTGACAGAAATGCATTTCCTCCTCCCTCCTCCCTCTTCCCTTCTCTTCTCCCTTCTCCCTCCTCCCTCTCTCCCTCCTCCCTTCTCTTCTCCCTCCTCCCTCTCTCCTCCCTCTTCCCTCCTCCCTTCTCTTCTCCCCCCTCCCTCCTCCCTCTCCCTCCTCCCTCCTCTCTCTCTCTTCCCTTCTCCCTCCTCCCTCTTCCCTTCTCTTCTCCCTTTTTCCTCCTCCCTCCTCCCTCCCTCCTCCCTTCTTTTCTCCCTTCTCCCTCCTCCCTTCTCCCTTCTCTTCTCCCTTCTCCCTCCTCCCTCCTCCTTTCTCTTCTCCTTCTCCCTCCTCCCTCCTCCCTTCTCCCAGCAGGTGCACAGGACCAGTCTGAACACTCTGCAGTTAGCATTTCTGTGAAACGTATTCTGAAACTATTCTTTCAAAGTCTAATTCTTTTCCTGAAGAAATTCTAATCGTCTTTCTTTTTAACACTCACCTTCTTTGAGATCAGGTGGCCTGCTTACCTGAACAACTTGGCTGTGGCCTTGGTTTTCTGACTTTTCGTCTTTCACTTTCCAGGCCTTTTCCTTGCCAGATATCTGGGGTGGAACAGCCTCAACCCACTCATCTTCGGAGCTCTAAGAATATTTAGCATATAAGTGATGTTCACAAATTTGCACACTTTGACATGAAATTCCTATGTTATGTGGAGATAATTCAGCTTCCTAGATGAGATTTTTTTTCCATTTTTCCCCTTAAAAAAAATGACACTGAGGAGCTGGAGAGATGCCTCAGCAGTCAAGAACATTGGCTGCTCTTGCAGAGGACCCAGGTTCAATTCCCAGCACCCAAATGGTGGCTAACAACCATCTGTAACTCCAGTTCCAGGTGATCCAACACCCTCTTCTGACCTCCACAGGCAATACATGCAAGCAATACACTCATACACATAAAATAAAAATAATATTTTTTTTAAATGACACTGAAGGCAGGGTGGGGGTACATGCCTTTAATCCTAGCACTCAGGAAGCAAAGGCAGATGGATCGCTCTGAACTCCAAGCCAGCCAATGCTACATAGTGAGACCATGGCTCTAAAATGACACTGAAGGCAGGGTGGGGGTACATGCCTTTAATCCCAGCACTCAGGAAGCAAAGGCAGATGGATGGCTCTGAACTCCAAGCCAGCCAATGCTACATAGTGAGACCATGGCTCTAAAATTGCAGCTGTCAGGGTCACGTGGTTTCCAGGAATCCAGGCTCTGTAATCTGAAACCCAGTATGCTAATGAGGCATCCTACCCTCTATTATGTGATAGGACGTTAAATATGTTATGCTAATAGGATGCTAAGTCTGTTATGCTAATAAGGTACCCTACTTGCTGTACTGTGATAGGACGCTAAACCTGTTATGCTAATGACATATCCTACTTGCTGTGCTGTGATTGGACCACTACCCCTACATAAGCTTGTGCCTTCCTGCAATAAAGCAGACCTGTGTCACTGAACCTGGTCTCCTGTGTCTGAATGCAGCTCTGCTGACACAGTCTCCTCACCAGCCCTGGGGTCTGGGACCGGGCAGAAGCAGCAACGACAGGAGGCAGCACAGGGGGAGCAGAAGAGCTGCCTCAGCACAAGGCAAACAGAAGAGCGGCCTCCGCCCAGGGCAGGCAAAAGAGCAGCCTCAGCCCAGGGCAAGCGGAGGAGCAGCCTCGACGCCAATGAGAACGAAGGAGCGGAACCCACGAGAATGGAGGAGCAGCCACTGCTGGCAATGACCGCAAAATCCTACTTTGGGTTAAGCCCATAACATACAACTAAACTAATTCTCATTAGCTGTATCATGAAGCAAAAGGGAAAGCAAACAGTGAAACCAGACACTGCCAGGTAGAGAACACACTCAGCAGAGCTTCGGTTCCTACCAAGACCCAGCAGTCCTCACAGATTCACCTCAGAGCCTGGGAAATGACCCTCACGTAAATGAGTTTGCTGTTGCCCCTAAGTGTCAAATTTTGAGATTGTCCTGGGCCTAAAAACGTAGATATCTGCCGGAAAAGCTAGACTGGTAAGGCATTTTGCTCACTGTGTTTAAATACCACATTATCAAAGAGACCAAGAACTTATTCACTTTCCCCTATGTGCTGAACATTATAAAGTCTGAGGGTTTGTTTTCAACAATCTAGTCTTCAATGCCAGGCACTATGTTGCATATTTTCACATAAATTATCATATAGAATCCATAAACTACCTCTACAAAGTATTATTTTGGCTTCATAGATAAGGAAAGCTTCCTAAAAATAAGTAACTTGCCCACATTACATGACACCCAAGTATGAGAACCGTGACAGGAATGGAGGCCTGTCAGGCTCTGAACGCTCCTCTGTGGAGCTCTGAAGGTATGAGAAGATCCTAGCACTACTCTGCGCGAACCATCTTCTAATGCACTGCTGGGAAACAGAGGTCAATGGGGAAAATGAGAGAACAGCAAGGCAAACTGTGGATTCTGGAGAGCAGCAGTCGTGCGTGCGTGCGTGCGTGCATGCGTGCGTGTGTGCTGTATGTGCGTGTGTGTGTGTGTGTGTGTGTGTGTGCATGTGTGTGAAGGTGCAGGCACTCCTGCACATGCACATGGAGGCCACAGGAGGGTGTCCTGATCTATCAATAACCACCTTATTCCCTTGTGACAGGGTCTCTCACTGAACCTGGAACTAGGCTGGCAGCAAGCAAGCCCCAGAAAACCTCCTCTCTGCCCCCGACAGTGTTGGGGTTACAGGTGTATGCAGCCATGCCCAGCTTTGTACGTGGGTGCTAAGATCTGAACTGGTTCTCATACTTAGACACCACAAGCACTCTCACAAACTGAGTCATCTCCCCTGTCTGAAATCAGTGTTTTTCTATTCCATGAAATACCTGAAAACTACTTAAAACTTTTTTAAGATTTTTTATTTTTATTTATGTGTTTGGGGGGGAGGGGTGTTCATGCATGCACAGGTGCTCATGGAGGCCAAAAGAAGGTATCCAGATCCACTGGGGCTGGAGTTACAGGTGGTTGTGAGCAGCCCAATGTGGGTGCTAGGAACTAACTTTGGTCCTTTGCAAGAGTAGCAAGTGCTCTTAAGCACTGTGCCATCTCTCCTTAATTTTTTGAAACTGGAGAACACAAGTATGTCTGTCAAAGATATAATCAATGTGTAAACATGCTCTGCCACACCAACTGCTCACTGCTTTCCAAAACAGAACAGATCCTATTCATTCATTCAGGCTTTATTTTAAATGAAAACCCTAGAACTTTTTTGTACTTAAATATATAGATTTGGGGGCTGGAGAGACAGCTCAGTGGTAAGAGCACTGGCTGCTCTTGCAGAGGACCCTAGTTCAATTCCCAGCACCCACATGATGGCTAACAACAGGCCTAACTCCAGTTCCAGGGGAATCCAACACCACCTTCTGACCTCTGTGGGCTTTGCATAACACAGGTGCACTTACATACATGCAGGCAGTATACTCATACACACACAATACTTTAAATATATAAACTGTTTATGATTATTTATTGTATGTGTATGTGTGTGTGCCTGAGTGTATATATGTATACCATGTGCATGCTGAAACCTATGACAGTCAGAAAAACTGAAGTTACGGGCAGTTGGGTATTTCCATGTGGGTGCTGGGAACTGAACCCAGGTCTTCTGCAAAAGCAGCCAATGCTCTTAACTGCTGAGCCATCTTACCAGTCTCTAGATATCAAAGTTTTGTAGTTGTGGTTGCTTTGTTTTGTTTTCTTGTCTTTTTGAGACAGGGTCTCCCTATGGCCCCAGCTGGCCTGGAACTAGGTAGACCAGGCTGGCCTCAAACTCACAGAGATATGCCTGCCTCTGCCTCCCAAGTGCTTGGATTAAAGGCATGAGCCACCACACCCAGCATTAGATATGTTTTTAAGGGGCCTAGAGAGATAACTCAGCAGTTAAGAGAACTAGTTGTTCTTGTAGAAAACCCGTGTTCAATTTCCAGTATCCATATGGTGGCTAACAACCATCCACAACTCCAGTTCTGGGGAAAATCAACATTCTCTTCTGACCACTGTGGGCACTGCACAACACGGGTGCACTTACATATATGCAGGCAATACACTCATACACATAAATTAAAAATATTTAAAAATAAATAATATGTTGTCAAATCAGTTTAGAGACCTCATTGTTAATTCTTGATGTCATCCACTAAAATGGTACTTTATAGCTTCAAGAAATTAGCATTTTCTTTAGGAGAGTGCCAACTTGCTTCAATCAAGTAAAAAGTTTGTGTTCCATGGGATTCTCTCAGGGCTTCCACAGTTATAGTTTTTGCTGTCTTTTCACTGTCTTATCAGATGTTGAGACTTGGATTTACTAGCTAGAACCACTGGGCACTACATCACCACAAGCAAAAGTGATCAGGACCTGCAACCTCAGCCAAGCAGATGAGTGAAGCTAGAGCTTACCAAACTGATACTTCCTCGGTTCTCTCTTCTACTACCTTCTTACTCTCCTCTAAGCATTCATTTTTAATTGGTTTGTGAAACTATTTGATTAATGTTCCATTAAGCAATAAGTTCTATGACAACAGGAATCACATCCACTTTTGCTACTTTGCACCCTACTGTAATACCTGGACATTATCGCCCTCAACACCCTCCTCACACTTTCGATCATTCCCCGTACCCTCAGCAAATGATCGCTCCTCTTACTTAGCAAGAAAAAGTGGGCCACATTAGCATCTTACCTACCGTCCAGAAAAGTTACTTTCAGTCCTGCCTAGCCTAAGCTCCTGTGAACTCATCCTGTTGCAGGCAGAGCCTCCTCCAAAGATTCTGGTCTCAAACCTTCCAGCCACGCCACTTCCTCCGGAACCTTGCCCATCACATGTCTCTTCTTCTGCTTCAAAGAATGGTCTCTAATGGTCTAGAAGAGTGCTGCACACTTCATATCATTTTTAGGGGGGACAACAAACTTCCTGACTTTACGTGCCCCTTTGGCAGCAATTCATCTTCCAACTTCTTTGCTAAGATAACCTTAATGAAAGAGTACTCCCTATTTACTGTCCTCTCTTACATTCAAACATCTCTCCAAACTCTAAGATAACTACTATCTATATTAGTCTAGTGAAAACTCCCAAAAATTTAGCAATGGCTTCCACCTTCCCAAACGCAAGCATTACACAGCACGGTGCACTCACATACATGCAAGCAATACACTCAAACATATAAAATAAAAATAATAAATAAAATATTTTTTAAAAAAAGACTCGGACAGTAAATTCTATGTTGAAAAAAGAAATACAGGAAGGACAGATTCGAGTGTCATGAAACTCCTCTCCCTTGCTTTGGTAATATGGACCTTTGCTGCTTTGTCTTATAATTTTCCAACCATTTCAGTTCAAGTGGCCTCCTCTCCTTCCTACATGGCTCTTCAGTGCTGGGGCTCAGATCACAGGTTCCCTAGACATTTCATCATTCTCCTATCTCTAGCTAGCAATGCCTAGCAAACTGTATCCGCATTCTCTTGCCTTTCTCTGGAACCAAAGATCTACATCCCTGGGCAACTCAGCCCAAGTGGCTGTCTTCTGAACATTCTTATATCATAACCGGTCTCACGTGTTTTAAGTTCCCACAGATCACTCCATCAAGTATACTTTCCTCAAATATCTGGTTGAACGAGTTTTAGTGCTTACTTACTGATGAACTATCGGTTGATTCACTTTTTTCATATTTTTGTTTCTTGCTCTTTTTTTTCTTCTCTTTCTTTGTCTTCTTTGAATGTTTCTCTTTTTTCTTCTTTTTTGTCATAGAATGTTCCTGAATATTTTTAAAATTAAAGAGAGAATTTAATTTTACCTAACTTTAAAAGGAAGATAGTTTGAGGAGGAAAAATAAATGTTAATCAATGAAATAGCTCAGATTTCTTACCAGAAAAAAAAAAAATATGAGGAAATTTTGGGTTAATTTATTTGTATATTTATATAAAAGATACTATCAAATAAATTCATATATATAGATACAAACATTAAGTTTTAGTGATACACAGCACAGGACTATGACCACAGTTATTAATAACATATTATATATTTTGAAATTACTAAAACAGATTTTTAATGTTCTCACCATAAAAAATAAGTGAAGTGATCATATATAAACAATTAAATCTTTACATATACATACACCAAAATATTATACTGCATTCTGCAAATATAAACAATCATTATTTGTCAATTAAAATTAAATGTTTTTAAAAATTGTCCCAATTACAGGGACACAAGCCAGAAGGCAAATTGCTAAAAAATTGTAAGAAGAGAAAAGAAGGTTTAGGTGCTAAGACATAAGGCTTAAATGTGTACTTTCAAATCTAGAAGCTTGCTTAAAATGGACCACAAATTTGAAGCTACCTCTACTAGCCACCACGAGTAATAGGCTCTCTCAGTACCACAATGACCACAACATTACAATAGTCATTTTGCCAGAAAGATAAACTATGCAATAAGGCTAACCATGTGATAGTCAACCTGTGACTTAGAAAATGGAAGAAAATTGTCCTCAATAACCATTGAGACGGCTCAGCAGTAAAAGCTGATGAGCTGAGACTGATCCCCAGAACCACATGGTAAGAGAGAACTGGCTCATATAAGGTGTCCTCACATGCCACACCCAAACATGCACAGACATACACACAAAATAAGTAAATGTAAAAAAGCACTGTTCCTCACTATGAACTTGAGCAGTGTTTTTAACGGACAGATACCCTGACATTAAGCAGCTGCTGAAAGTTACCTGTGAGAACTGTTCAATTCGCTCATTTACGTCAGGTAGCATCCATGTGTCTTCACCTCGAAGGCGCTTAAGTCCTTTACACCTTTCTTCTTTTTCAAAATTGGCTTTGGCCTACAACAAAAGATATAAAAGGATGAGCCGGCAGCTGACACAACTGTTTTTCAAATACATGCACAATAACTGATACCATTTTCATATACAGTTCCCAGTCATCAATGAATGGTCTACTCTTGTCAATAAATTACTTCTACTAGTGTAGAAAATTTTTTTTATTATTTTTATTTTATGTTTATGAGTGTACTGCTTGCATGTAGGTCTGTGCACCCATGTCATGCAATGCCCATGGTCAGAAGAGAGTGTCGGATCCCCTGGAACCGGATCAACAACAGATGGTTGTTAGCCGCCATATGGGTGCTAGGAATCGAACCCAGGTCTTCTGAAAGAGCAGTCAGTGCTCTTAATCACTGAGCCATCTCTCCAGCCCTGTACAAAGATTTTTTAAAACCAAAATTTTTCCTTTGGCACCACCAACTTCCAGGAAATTAGGACAGGAATAACAGAATCCTGAGGTCTAGTCTATGCCTTCCTCTCTCCCTACCTCAAATACAATTTGGAATCTCTTAGCCCTTCATCATCCCTGTGGCTAGCTCTTTACACTTTTACAAAAATTAGGAAACTGATCCTCATGCCTTCAATAGACAATAGCTGTAACCCAATATTCTGCCACAGAAAAAAGTTATAACACTTTTAAATATGACTTATTAAATATTTTATTTATTATTTTTATTTTAAGTGTATGAGTGTTTTGCCTGCATGTGTGTAAATGTACCTGTGTCATGCAATGCCCACAGAGGTCAGAAAACAGCATTGGATCCCTTGGAACTGGAGTTACAGATGGCTGTCAGCCTTCAGGTGGGTGCTGCGAACTGAACCCAGGTCCTCTGCAAGAGCAGCCAGTGCTCTTAACCACTAAGTCATCTCTCCAGCTCAAAAGTTCTAGTTTTAAAGAGAAAGGATCATACCGCTAACTTCTAGGCAAATAAAGCAAGGTTCCCCCAAGTGCTTGTTACTGCTCTCTCACTCTTTCTCTCAAATTCCAAGGATGAGTTTGGTCCTTCTCAAACTATATGTTGTCCCTACAACATTTATCAGTGTAGAAACCCTACTTCCTCCAAACCTACTTGAAATACCAACCAAAGAAAGACAATATGTATTATGAATATGCTGAGACCACAAACAATACCACCTTTCTAGTCACCTGCTCTTCCCTTTAGAATCTGAGTTAAAAGTCATTATCCCTTCCTCTGTCTCCTCTCCTCCATGTCCACTCAACTCACTACATGCATTTAGGCTGACTTAAAATTCTTTCACCTTAAAACAAATAGAAACATACACATACACACACACACACACACACACACACACACACACACAAATTATCACCGAACATTCTGTTGTTCTCCAACTACAAATCTGCTCTTTCCTTGTCACATTTACTTCAGGAATAACTTGCCAGATAATTCAACAGTTTACTTCTTCCGTTTCTAAGTTACTTTGATACATCTCAGTCTTAATGAGAATTTTGTGTCTCAACTTTTTAAGAGAGGCCAAATGTCCTGTCTCTTGTGCTAAACAGCGTTTGAATCAGTAAAGGCTGAAGTACGTCTGGAATTGAAACCAGCAGTAAGACAGGTGGAGGAAACGTCAGTCTATTCGTGTGCCCTACTTCCGCTCCCGAAAGACTGCATTTCCTTTCAGTTAGAGCAGGAGCCTTGATCCAGGCTGCCAAATACCTGGAAAGAGTCGTTAGCGGTGCAGAGCACCCGGGACTTGCGCGATCAGGTGGCAGAAATGTCAAGAATGGATGACTTAACATGTAAGCACACCTGAAGGAAACCAATCCGATCTCCGCGGAGAAGGAGCAAGAGGAGACACCGCGCTGCGAAAGGAGCCCGCGCCCAGGCACGACCAGACCCCGGGTGACCCGCTGGCTGCCGGGGTTGCAGGTCCGACGGTTCTAAAGAACTTTCCGGAGCCTGTCTAAAAACAACCCAAACTCAAGAGCTGGAGCAGAACTGCGGCAAAGCGTCGGCGTGGCCTGCACGAGGACCCCAGGTTCAAGCCCCAGACTTCAGTCTGAGGAAGAAAACCCCCACGGGATGTACCTGGCGCAGCACCTCGGCCCTGGCCTCGCGGGTCCGCTCCCGGCGTTCGGCGATGCTCCTCGCACTTTCAAATCTTCCACCGAACGCCGCCATACTTATTGCTGTCGTAAAGTGAGGAAGCCGTCAGGAAAGCCCAGTTTACGACTGTCGTAATTTAGTAAACAAATCCGGACTTCCGACTAGAGGCAGAAGGGGCGGTGCTCTACCGACAGAGCTTGCGCAGACCTGAGTGGTCGGCCCTGCTGGCGCTTAGAGGAAGCCTGCAGCCCAGGGGAGGCTTCACCTCTTCCAAGCGCTGGGTTTGCCTGAAACAGGGTTAATATCATTATTAATTTATTGAGCGTCTGGTTGTGTTCCCCTTTCTCACCCGGGTGATTTTAAATCATCGCAGTAAGCTACATACTTCAGAAATTAAGTCCATACCTCAACGTTTTCCACTAAATAGGGTTCTCGCCTTTCTGTGATGGAGCAATGGGAAGGGCAGCTGATCAAAAGTCAGAACCTAACCGAAAAGACGAAATTGCTCCGAAGATCTTTATTCTTTGATGAATATTTTTAATTATATGAAATAGGGGGCTGGAGAGATGGCAGTGGTCAAGAGCACTGACTGCCCTTGCAGAGGACAGTGGTTTGGTTCCCAACACCCATATCATGGTGGCTAACTGTAACTCCAGTTCCAGGGAATCAGAAGCCCTCTTCTGGCCTCCGTGGGCATTGCATGACATAGGTGCACTCATACGTGTGGCAAAACAGTCGTGTACATAAAATAATAAGTAAAATAGTCATGTGAATTTGTACTGTACTTCAAACTTTCCTGAGATAATTTAAAGTTTTTAGAAGTTTACAGTTTTTTTCTCTGACATATTTGCATATACATGCACAAGAACACTTTTTATTACATGGAACAGTTACATATTTGTTTCTGTGGGAATACTAAATTACACAAAGAAGAAGACATTCTAAAGCTAGACTTGGCTGCTCATAGCAGTAATCCCAGATCTGGGGAGGCGGAGGCAAGAGGATCATTGCAAGTTTCACAACAGCCTGGTGTGAGATCCTGTCTTGGAAAAAAAAAAAAGGAAAAGAAAAAATAAAGACGAGCTAGAGTGAATAACTGTAAGTAGATACCAAAAAAGAAAAAACAAAGTATAAGCCAGGGCCAGGTTGGAGCAAACACTCTTTTTTATTGGGTGGGGGGCCAGTCACAGAAGTGGTGGCCCATGCCTATAAGCCCAGAACTGAGGAGGCAGAGGCAGGGCATCTCTATGAGATCAAGCCCAGCCTTGTCTACATAGCAAGTTCCAGACCAGCTTCTGTGGCTACAGGGGGAAAAAAATTGTATGGGGTGTGTGTGCGTGCAAGATTTCTGAGGAGTTTGTACTTTCCCATTCCATGGAAGTCTTTTCTTTTGTTTTGTTTGTATGAGTGTATTGCCTGCATGTATGTGAGTGCATCCCTGTCGTGCAACGCCACGGAGATCAGAAGAGGGCTTCAGATTCCCCTGGAACTGGAGTTAAGGATGGTTCATAGCCGCCATGTGGGTGCTGGGAATCGAACCCAGGTCCTCTGCAAGAGCAGTGATCTTAACCACTGAGCCATCTCTCCAGCCCCTCCATGGAAGTCTTAATCTCGAGCAAATAATGTTTGCTTAACATTCAGTAAATAGTACTAATTTGTTATAGATAACTGGATTTAATTTATTAATCTTGTAATATGTAACCAATTTTGTTATCAAAGTCTTCAGATTAGGATTAAAAAAAGAGAGAGACTCTGCCTCTGCATCATCTACAGAACATAATGACTTCACCAGACCTTGTGTGTTTCCGTTCCTTCTGGCTGCTATAACAAAAATACCATTAACTGAGTGAATTATAAACAACATATTTTCCCATGGTTTTGAAAGCTAGGTCGTTCAAAGTGAAGATACCAACAGGTTTGATGCCTTATCCCAGTTTATAGATGGCATCTTTTAGCCATGTGGAAGGGATGAGGGAATCTCTCTGTGCCTTATATATGGACACTAATCTCATTCATAAAGGTACCACCTTCATGCTGTAATCACCTCTCACTTCTTTATACCCTCACATAGATTAGGTTTTAGCCTAAGAATTTTGGGCAAGCAGGGGCTGGAGAGATGGTTCAGTAGTTAAGAGGACCACTTGCTCTTGCAGAGGACCTGGGTTTGATTCCCAACACCCACATGGTGACTAACAACCATCCATAACTCCAATTCCAGGGGAATCCAAAGCCCTCTTCTGACCTCCATGGGCATTGCACAACACAGGTGCGCTTACACACATGTAGACAATACACTCATACACACAAAATAATAAAAAAGAATTTGGGGCAATACACAATAGTCATGTATAAAATCATATGATGAAAACTGAAATCTTATTTAAGCCTTAGAAGGACTAAAAAAAAAAGGACAAGTACTCTTACTCTGTGCATAAAGAAGACACTACAATCAGGAGTGTTCAGTTTTTTGGAACTGTGTCTACTAATGTGTTGGGCTGCATTCATAGCTATACTGGGACATATGCAGCCCAAGGGCTGCTAGATAAATATGTGTGGATGTGAAAAGATCAGTTCTTCATAAATCAATTTTAAATATAATGCAATAGAATCAGAATTGTGAACAAAAATATAGGGATCAGAGTGATGCTGGTAAGATGCCTTAGCTGGTTAAAGCACTTGCTGCATAAGCCTAGCAGCATGAATTCAATTCCTGGAACCCATAAAAAGGTAGATGGAGAAAACCAACTCCACCAACACACACAACACACACAATAATTATAATAATGATAATAATAATATAATAATAATTAATAATATATCGGCATCAAAGGAGAAAACTGGACATATTGAAATACGAAAAGTTGTAGGGGAACGAGTTGTTATGGCCAGGTCTGGAGTTGGCTACATCTAATGGAGAGCCAATCACATGGCTTAGTCAAATAATGGGTAATTTAGTAAGGAGTCTACAGGGAGCTGATGCACATCAGGTGTTGCTGAAGGAATCAGACTCTATTTCTGTTTTGTCACAGTCTGTGAGTCTAGTCTTCACAATCACAGTAAGGAATTACATTATCCCACACTCATTCTTGATATCTAGTAAACACAGAGTAAAGCGAAAGAACAAACTGAATGCTGTGTGCCAGTTAAGCTGACCCCATTTATTATTTAAAAAATGAAGGCTTTCCCTAAAGCCTAGTTCACTTATATCTTATGGTCCAGAGGTAGGTCACATGGTCACAGCTAAGTATAAGAGAGTCAAGAAGGGTTGGAGAGATAAGGTGATGGATAAGCACTTGTTGTGCAAGGATAAGGACCTGAGTTCAAATCCCCAGAACCCATGTAAAAAGCCAGGTGCAGTTACACATATCTGTGCTTCCAGTGTTCCCATGGCATGGTGGGAGACAGGAGAATCATTGGAAGCTCTGGGGTCAACTAGCCTGGTGTGTACACTGTAAAAACACTAAGAGACCCTGTCTTAAACAAGGTAAAAAGCAAGGACTGACACCTGAACTTGTCTTGTGACCACACACACACACACACACACACACACACACACACACAGCCATGAAGATTCCAGGTCATTTCTGTTATAGAAGCTCATGCAAACAGAATTGCTGAGTTTTCTTTGGGAGCTTCTTGAGCGGGACTGTCACAGAAGTGAGGTTAAAATCTTACTACTTCCTATTATGTAGCTCGTGATTTCTCTGGGTTCCATCCCTGGTAATGTTCACTCTGATCATTTACATAAACTGGTATAACTATAAAGTTAATAAGTATTTAAGTGATTTCTCAAAACTATTTAAATTCTGCATCACGTTTCAATTTTCCATTTAATATTATATGGTGTTGCCGCTGCCCGGTCCCGAGCCCCTTGGGGGTGGGGGTAAGAAGGCGCAGAGTCAATGGCACAGACTCCGGGAGTCAAGCAAATGGCAAAACAGACTCGTTTATTGAGGATATTGGGCATGCCTATATACTCCCTCCCTGTGTCCCATTGGTCCCTCGGCTGCTCCGTGCTGTGCTGTCTCTTTCTCAGTGGTCTCTCTCGTCACGTGTTCTTGCATCGGCTGTTTCTCCCCGGTCAGGCAGATTTCAGATTGGCTTAAGGGGAAGTAACTGTTGCCCGCATGTGCCGTAGCATGTTTACCAGGCCTGTCAGCACTTCCTCCTACAATATGGACTGAGTATTTTTTCTCAGTGTCTTAGTCACTTTTCTCATTGCTGTGACAAAAAATGTCTGCCAAAACACCTTGAGGAAGGAAGAATTTATTTTGGCTCACAGTTTGAGGGTATAATCCATCATGGCGGGGAAGGCATGGCAGCAGGAGACAGCTGTCATGGCATCTGTCAGGAAGCAAAGAGATGAACCCTGGTGCTCAGCTCACTTTTTTTTTCATTCAGTCTAAGACTCTATCCCATGGGATGGTGCAGCCTACATGTTTAGGGTGGGTCTTTCCACCTCAATCAACCCAGTCTAGAAGCTCCCTCACAGATATATCCACAGGTTTGTCTTCTAGGTGGTTATAGACCCTATGGAGTTGTCAATCAACATTAACTAGCACTCTCAGTGAGATAATAATTTGTTAATGGGAATGCCAGGTCCTCTTCAGAGAGCCAGGCAGGGAGACAAATCCATAGATGTCTTTAAGGATAATGTATTAGCTACTTTTCTGTCACTGTAATGAAATACCCTAACCAAAAGCAAGCTAGAGGAGGAAAGGCGTATTTGGGCTAACAGTTCCAGAGTCCCATCATTGTGGGAAGGACATGGCAGCCAGGAAGGCATCGGGGTGGATAATCACATTTCACAGAAAGCAGACAAGGGGGGTGGTGAGCCAAGTTATAAAAACCTCAAAGCTTATGCCAGGCACGGTGGTGCATGCCTTTAATCCCAGCACATGGGAGGCAGAGGCAGGCAAATCTCTGTGAGTTCAAGGCCAGCCTGGTCTACATAGTGAGTTCCAGGACAGCTGGGGCTACAGGGAGACCCTGTCTCAAAAACACCAAAAAAAAAAAAAACCTCTCAAAGCTTGCCCCCACTGACATACTTCCTCCAGCAAAGCTCTACCTCCTGATGATCCATAACTTTCCCAAGCAGTGCCACCAACTGGGGACCAAC